CGATTCATTGCCATATAAACAGAGCATATACATGTATATGAATTTTTATTGTTAGAAACAAAAGGTTGCATGGTGTTTTTTCTTATTTTTGTTGATGACAGTATAAAACTATTGTTATTCTTTAGTTCTTTGTTGTTGTTTTTTTCCCTCTAATTACTCGTATTGTTTGCTTTGGCAATTTGGAGGCTTGCTGATTTTGACAGTAAAATTATGTGAATTTTTGGTTGTCGGATATATCCTGTATCGTCTTTCTTTACTTTATCACTTTGAGAAATCTTATCGTTTATGTGCTCTTCCTTGTTTTTATCAGATACTGATGCAAGACCTTATCTTATAACGGGTCTAATGAACTGCTAAAATTCATTAGAGGAGGGTACGTCAAATTGTAAACTTTAAGTTTTGATTTATTATCTTTTCTATAAAATCTTGATTTTCAGCGATTTCCACTTAATAAAGATTTAGAGGCAAAGTATATTTAAATGAACAAAAGCAGGGGGGTGGGCTCTCCAGCGGTAGTAAATTAACATAGTTTTGCAATATGTTTTAACTTTGATCTCTCGTTAAGTGCGCGACATCAGGCAATTTTTCTGCGGATTCAATTACCTCAGTGGGTAGTTAATTATACAGCGGTTCTAAACACTGTTCTACGGCCCCTTGACAAAGTAACCTCTCTTTTGTCCCGAAATAAAAGGAAACATTGACTCTTATTTGAAGCATGCGGAGCAATTAAATACGAGTACCTAACTTTATTTTTACAACAGTTTCAATATTCAATGTTTGAATAGTTTGAGGTTTGGGGCAGATAAAAATTGGCTGTGGTAGACTAGATTATCCTTGTGTTGATAATGAAATAGACAAGCGTGAAGTTACGAGAGATCCTTGGTTCGTTTTCTGATGATATTATAACAGTTCATGATTTGTGGAATGTAAACACGGAGCATTTGTGGCTGATCATTTAAAATGTATTGAATCTCACTTCCCATTGGTAAAGTTCGCGTAACAGTTTTGAATGGGATTATGAGAAAAAGAAATTTACCATGTCAAGTTAATAGGTACACGTGGTTACACTGTTTTAATTTTTACGGTTTCGTGCGAATTGGGGGACTGTGAATTATACAATACCTAGGTAGTTAACATAAATATCATAACAATAACATCATTATGATAACTATCAATGACCAAGTTCTGTATGCAAATATTTGTCCATCAAACTTTTTGTGATCGATATGCTTTAAAAACAACATTTGCAGTCCTTACATAATTTTATTAAAGTGGCAACTGAATTACATTTTCAAAGCTTGTAAAGATATTAAAAATATTTTGAAATATGTTATGACGTTAAAAAGTCATTGTTATACTTTAAAAACAGTAAACTTGATTTATAATCTGACATATATTAAAGCAAATATCAAGATTTGGCTGTTTCATATACTATCTGTCCCTGGTTAACTTTAATATTTCAGCATTTGTCGCTGATGAAATCCGTTATGATTTTAAAATGTTAAATAAAATCTCTATTATCACTCATGTATTTTTATTTACCTTTCACTTTATTTTTATTTACCTTTCACTCTTACGGCTTTTATCCAGATAATACAATTCTGGCAGGGTTCGAGCGCTAACTACGGTCACAGTAGTTCGACAAGACAACGCGAGGCTAGATTATACTGACATCACGAATTTACTCCAGTCAAACCCTCACTATAAGCCCGGTCTCTCTGGTGCCAAAGATTTGACGAATATCTAAACTGGACATGCGCACTGCATCAACTATGTACAGTAAAATAATAGTTAGCTCAGAACCCTGTCTTTTTTTTACAACGTTCTAAAAAATAAAGCATTCCTCCTACTACAAGTATTGTCATTTGGAATCGCCGTTCTGCCTAGTATTCGAAAAAACTGAACAATAGAGCTAATGATTATCTTTTAAGAAGTGTTATCCCGAGGAACCTACACGCTGGTTACGTACATGATGGTAGTATTTCCTTTTTTAGGTCTTTTATTATATGGTATTAAATTCACAGTTTTGACTGACTTTGGACAGGCGGTGTACGTGTACAAATGGTCAAATCTTGTTAATTGTATATGTTATAATAGAACGATACGTTGTAAAACATTACTTGAATTGCATGTATATGATTTTGATGGCCGAAACGTAAATAAAAGTTCATGAGGTGACAATAGAGTTTTTATATAACAATATTGTTACATAATTTTTTTTCTTGTGTCTCTAATAGTTTCATTGATACGCTGAGAGATACTCTCTTTACGGGCTTTGCGATTTTCACTTATGTTTTTTGCATTGTTTGTTGTTGTTTTTTGTTTTTGTTGTTGTTGCTGCTGCTGTTGTTGTTTTTGTTGTTGTTTAATTGCACTCTTGTGATCTTTTCTCTATCAATATTAGTAAACATAATAGCTGGATCAAGCACATAAAAATTTTTATGTGCATCGTGTTTGATTACCTAGTATATCCCGTCATACTTCCATATTCCTATTGATCATCTGCGGAGGCATACGGCGTCAGTTTAATATAAGCATACCTCCTAATAATTTTATGTTATAAATACTTATTTATTTTAGCTTAATCATAATGAAAGCCCCAGGCTTATTCAAACCACGAGTCCACTTCCTGAAACTTTTACCAGTACTGCTGTCATGTGAGGAAACATGAAAACATGTACATGACCGCCGAGGCCTCGAACAAGATACCTGGTATCAGAGGAACTAAACCATCTTTTCCTGTCAGCTCAAATAAATATTATAATTCTTGAACTGTACTGAGTGAGTGAGTGCGTTTGTTTGTTCTTTCATTCGTTCGTTCGTTCGTTTGTTCGTTACAGATAATTCATCCATACTTATCAGTTGCTTAAACCAGTTGCTACAGTTATAAGGTGCTGTAAGATGCATGGTAACGAATATCCAATCTTTGGTCGTAACGGTAGCCAGCTTTTGGGGTAGCTGGACCGTCCAGAGCTGCTTTAAATGCTATGGAAGCAAATTCAAGAACTTTGGCCGATATCAATCTGGTTTGTTGTTGTTGTTGTTGGTTTGTCTGTTTGTTTGTTTGTTTGTTAGTTTGTTTTTTTTCTTCTTAGGGGTGGGAGGGGTAGGTGGGAGGTATAATAATACATGTAATATTTCATAACATTTCGTATACTATTATTATCAGCACTTTATAAAGAATTTATAAAAAAAAATGTTCGGTTGTGTAGGCAGCTATTAGTTGTATCTAGTAATTACATATATACACGTTACAAAAACTTTGTTAATCTATTTCTATTAATTTTTATTTAGCAATAATTAACTCGACACATGTTAAGCATTTTAGATAGAAACGTGTTTATTATAGTATATTAACAAGTGTAATTACATATCAGAAACTTTTCTTTAATTTATGGTTTTTACTAGGTGTTAATCATATTTTCAATTACCTCTATATTAAAGTACAAAATTATGGGTTCCTGAACCCGTCTAATCTAACTATTATATGTAATATAGATTCAATACCTTGCTCCGGAACGCCCACTGACACGTGCGGTCTCGTTTGGAAATTAAATCGCTTTAAAACAGCATTATATTTATGAACTTTTGTAAGAGACAGTAAAAACCAACACCGCAGATTCACTATGTAGAATGTACATGTAGTTTAAGATACTGGGTAGCTGGGTAGCCTGGGTATGTACAATATCACCTTTTTTGGTTTGGTTTTGTGACGCAATAATACCATATGCCAATTTTAGCTGTACTGATGGAGGAAGACCTCATGTGCGCCTCCGTGCGCGAACGGACTCTTGAGTAGAACCACCGACGTTCCGTAAGCTAGCTGGATAGCTTCCTCACATTAAAGAATCAGAGATACAAATGTACTGACAGGACTCGAACCCACGGCGGCGAGGAGCTCATGATTTGGAATCAACGACTCTAACCACTCGGCTAGGGACACCTCAGGTTAATATCACCAATCTTGTATGTCTTTCTTTTATTTTGTTTTATACCCTGCAAGTATAAGAAAACGTGACATCTCCACATTTACTGTTGGAGGTTTTTTTCCAGCTAATTTTTATTACTATATAAGTATGTTTTCTAGATATTGTTTTATAGTCATCTTTAAACGTATACATACAGTATGGACTGATTGATAGAATGCATAGATTCGATCACAGACTTCGCACTGGAATATAATTATATAAGTGAATGACAAAAGCCCTCCCGCCTAAAATGACAGAAGGGGGGTAGGTGGACAAAAGCCCTCCCGTAAGTTTGAAAATAATAACAAAAGTCTCCGTCCAAAAATTGACAGTGAGCGTGAAAATGACAGGGCGGACAAAATTAAGCCATCCTGTCCAAAAATGACAAGGCAGACAAAAACCTCCCCGTCCAAAAATGACAAGGCAGACAAAAACCTTCCCGTCCAAAAATGACAGGGCGGACAAAAGCCCTCACATGAATACAGGGCAGGGGAGGTAGGGAAAATAAACCCCCTTGATTATTAGCTACAGAGTTATTGTATACATTAAATTAAAGAACAACTATTGAATTCGGTTGCTTTTATAATATTACTAAATGTACTCATTCATGCAGAGTCTTTTAAATAGATTAATTATATTTGAAAGACCCCAGTTAAATGTGTGTGTGTAAGAAGGAAAAGTTTATCAATAAGCCAATTTTATTTAATCAGTAAAGTATATGAAAAGTCATTACTTGTATCTGGGCTTATCAGTAACAAGGCTTGTATAATTAAAAATATATAGATATTATAGAATAAGGTATTATTACACTCAAATAATGATTTATTCTGAAAATGAAATATTAGCACGGCTTAATTAAAGAGACAAATTTCTGAACAACCTAAAATTAGATTACATCAGGTTTATTTCATGAGATACTTCAAAAACAACATAGATTTCATGTAGATATTCATGGGACAAAAAATGTAGCTTGTACCCTGCTTTGAAAAGTGCCAGGTACTAATCAGTTGGGATCTGTAAACTAAATTTTGTGTCGCGAGGTAAACTTGACTTTTAACACGGAAGTACTCCATACGAATCGAGACAAAGATATTGCTTATCTGATCGAAAATATGCTATCCTAGAGATGTGTTTAGTAAAAGTAAGTTATTTGTTAAACTAAGAAAAATGTTTTTTGTTAAAGCCCATCATCAGCACAAGAAAACAAGACTGACATCATAAATTCGTCATTTTATTTATTGGATTCGTACTCGAGGTATTTCGTACAGTAATTTGTGTCAAGTTGAAAAAATAAGGAAGTGGTCAGAAATATTTATTCTAGTCCAATTGCTTTGTACTGTATAACTGTTATATATAACCAAATATTTTGCTATTTAAACTTTATACTAAAGTACATGCCGAATACTGTCCCATGGCCATTAATTTGGCATTTGGAAAAAAATAGTGAAGTCTTATCAGCTACAGATTATCAAAAAATATTACATACTGTAAGTGTAACACACCTAACAGCTTAAGCAGTTAAGCACTGATGGAATTTGGAGGTTACGTACCATGGAGGTTACGTACCACTGCATAAATGTACCATTTTTGGAGGTTATGTACCACTATAGAAATATATAATAAAGTGATAATAATACTAGGGATAAGGTGTGAAACTATATCACCTTTATTGTTCAAATTCGCGCATTAATTGAATTTGGAATGAGATTAAATATGTATGAATATATAAGAATAAACAACAAACCGCAATTAAAGATAATAACAAGTTTTATTTACAACACAAAACTGAAAATAATTAATAACAATAATATAATTACACGCACTAAACTGAAATGAACAGTACAATGAAACAAAGCACAGCTAATATATATAAAAAAAACATTTTTTTTTTTCATTTATAGTATTATTGTTTTATTTATACGCATTTAACTCAAATTAACTGAAATAAACAAAATAATCAACAGCAATAATAATATTTCATATGCATGTTAATAAACCGGACAAAATTACTTACCAGCTTGAATAAAAAAAAAAACTAAACAAGGGTTACATATTTTATCATTTATACATTACATTTAGTTTCATTTACACGTTAACTGAACTGTGCATAAAATGAAAATAACAATAATTATGTTACACGCTCTGAAATGAAACAACAATACACAATTAACAAGTATTTTTAAAAATATGTGCCAGCCGTTGCTCGACTTCCATCATGTCAGCTTCAGCACTCGTAGTGGCGTGTAACATTGCTGGAACTTAAAGGTGGTCTACTTCAGCACTCGTAGTGCCGTGTAACATTGCTGGAAGTTAAAGGTGGTCTACTTCTTATTGCGAGTTGTCAGCAACCTGAAATTAAATATTAATAAGTTTTCTTATTAAGAAAGAAATTATGCATGCATGCTTTCTGTAAAAGTTGATCGCCACAAAATTTCATTTTAAAAAATCAGTATTACGTACTAACCGGAGACTTGCAATTATAAATCAGTGTATTCACTCATATGTCAATAGTTTGCAATTTGTTTGTGATTTGTTAGATTACTCATTTCTGAATGTGTGATAATCATACATAGATAAAGGTAAAACGTTTGCATTTAAATTAATTGAAGGTAGTGAAAACGGACAATGGACCTCCGTTTCAAAGTCGAGCATTCAGAGAATTTGCTAATAATTCGGGATTTAAACATAAACGAATCACTCCATTGCACCCACAGGCAAATGGAATAGTTGAGAGATTTATGGCACCACTGCAAAAAGCAATTAAAACAGCGATAGCGCCGAGACAAGATTATAAAAGAGCGTTAAGTAGATATCTTATGAATTTTCGGAACACACCACAAACAACTACACAAACAGCTCCTATTGAATTAATGTTTAATCGTAAATTAAAGACAAAATTACCAAAGATGACATTTGATAACAAAGACACAGATATTCGAGACAGGGACAGTTTATCAAAAGCGAAAAACAAAATATACGCTGATAATAAACGTAGAGCTCAGCGAAATAATTTGAAACTGGGAGATCGTGTGCTATTAAAACGGGAACAACGGAATAAGTTTGAAACACCGTTTTACCCTACCCCTGGGATAATCATCGCTATGAAAGGATCTATGCTTACAATCAAACATAAAGGAAAAGAAATCACACGGGACGTTTCCAAATTTAGATATGTTCATGGAGATAAAGAGCCAGTGCAGACGAAACCTGCAGACAATACATCTTTACCTAGAAATAGGCCGCAGAGGAAACGCCCAACGCCGAGACGTTATGAAGATTAATTAAGAAAAAAAAAGAAAACGGTTTAATCTATGATACCATTTCTCGTTACAGCTATAAGGGTTAATGACTCAAATGTGTGGGCCATAATAATGATAATCAGTTACCGTTACTTAATTAAATGGAAATGATTCCTCGTGTGTATAAATTACACCCATTATAACAATTGTGATAAAATAAAAATATTTTCAAGTCCCCGTCAAAAATGAATGATATAAAACTGAATTAAGACACATCTAGTAGCAAAAGAATAACTTTTGATTTTTCACGAAAATGAAAACGATGAACGGTATGTTAGACAATGACAATTTATAATCAACATAGCTCAACATTAGATACTGTCGATAGGCATAGAATATCATATAAAATTATAAAGTGTTGCTGTTATCATTGAAACGTTCGGGCTGGCCATTTGCAAGTAAAAAAAGATCTAAATCAATTATAACATCATGTGATCATGGTAACATAAAGTGTAATATGAAACTTAGAGTAAATAATAGACAAAAAATAATGTTATAAGTAATAAGTCAATATTTCTCTATCATAGCAGTAATAGAATTTCTACTGGCAACCTCACAGGATATTGTATACCATATTTTACCCATTTTATATAAATTATATATATGGTACGTATCCTCCAAAATATATAAGTGGTACGTAACCTCCAAAAATGGTACGTAACCTCCTGGTACGTATCCTCCGTGGTACGTAACCTCCAGTAATCGCACTGATAAGTAAATAAAAAAATTACATATTTTATGTTGGAGCATGGATTATTTATTTAAAATATAAAATACGTTATTTCTACTCAACCAAGACTTTAGTGAGCTGTTTTGTGATTGGTTGTTTATTTTTAGATTATTGGCTAAAAAAAAAAAGAAGAGATTATTGACTCGCCAAATTTTGGGCAACTAGTCATTCGAGCTTTTGTTGTCTAGCTGTCAATTAAAAAAAAACTTGTGTTTTTTTTAAGAAGACTACAAAATATAATGAAAAATACAACTTTCTACTAAGAGGTTGATATAATTAAAATCATGATGATAGTTTTTGAATGAAACTTCTTCTTATTATTATCACTAAGTTGAGTTAACCCTGGTGTTTATTCCTTGCTAATACACAATGATTATTGTAGGCCACCCAGCCACAAGATTTTAGGGAGGAGAAGGAGCATGGTTGCTGCATATATCTAAGCCAAATATTTAACTTTCATTAGTGTAGTAGTTGCTTTAGGTGCCATATTAGTTTGGAATGTGTCAATTGCACTTGTGACTTATAGTTCAAGACTTTGGTAGGTTGGTGTTGGGTTTTTTTGTGTGGAAAAGTCCAAATTTCAAACCCAAAGTCCCCGGTGCTCTGTGCTGATACATAAGTGAGTGGGTTAATTTTTACAGGTGCATAATTTTAAGATGCCTTTATTAGGCTGTAGGGATTTATGTCTTCTGTCTTTTCATAAATTTTATCAGAGATGTTATGTTACAATTTCAAGTTTTGTTTGTAATTTTTCAGCTATGGTAATCTGTGTTGATAGAACATGGAAGCGTGACAATACAAGTGCAGAAGAGTCTGATATATTGAGAGATATGAGATTTACAAGATGACAGCAGTGATAGAAGGTGATGAATATGTTGCCATCAAGTCTGTGCACGCTGTCCCAAGTTCGGGCAATGGCGCAGATCCGTTCCTGCCCATTATCAAAGGCGAGATGGTCACCGTAGTATCCCATGTAGACAATCACCGCCTGTTAGTTGAAAATAGATACAATATACAAGGTCTAGTCTACCGCCATCATGTACATCCAGCGGACATATATGCTCGGGAAGATTTCTTCTTGTACGACTTTACGTCAAAAATGGCCGAGCGGATTCTATCGGGCAGGGAATTTGGGACGTTCCTACTTCGTTATAATTCAAGAGATTCAGAAAAGATTGTCCTCAGTGCCAAGTTTGACAGTATTGTACATTACAGTTTTACAAAGAAAGGCGGGGGAATAGAGTATAATGATAAGACATACCTATCTATACCAAGTTTCATTAACAAATGTAGTAATAAGAAAATGCATGGACTTGCTGGGAAGCTAGGGAAATGGTTGAAACAATCAGATTTGAATTTGCCAAATATTACCACAGGGAATGTAGTTACTCTTCAGTCAATACAGATGAGAATAGTGGGTATGTTTATTTATTATTATATATATGATTTTTTTGTGAGCCAAGGACTATGAGGTAACCGTTATTGTAACATACACAATAATTTTCAGGTTATATTTGAATGTCTCTGACAAGTACTTGAGCTTTGTTTTTGCGAAGTGTTTTTCCCATTGTGGACTTTGAAAGTTTTACAAAGCGTTTATTTTACTGTCAAGAACTGAAAATAGTCACCGACCAAAACCAATAATGCCAGCAGGGAATTTCACTTAATTATTCCCTTTTTGTAAACTTAGAATATTCCTTAATGGTTCCATGGGAAAAGTCAAGTGTGCAGTCTGTACTGTTTAACCTTATCACGCCCTTCAATTTAATCTTATTAAGACAGCTTGTTTCCTTATAAATATGTATATAATGAATGTATGGAAAGCACACTGTGTCATTGTCAGGTACTAACTATGGATGGTTGTTATATTTTCAGCGGGTACGGTAGCTGTCGCTATAGAGGATTTCCCATCATTCAATGTGTTGTGCCTACAGGTTGTTAGGAAGAAATTGTACACAGTATTACGTGCATGCAGGAACCCAGACTGGTTTATAGCTAGGGACGAAAATGATAATGAAGGGTTTGCAGATTTATGTATTTCAACTATTTGTCGTTCTTAATGAAAGGGTATTAAAGTTATATCAAATGAAATAATATATAAATAAATATTGACTGTAAATTTATACTGTTTTCATAATCTATTGGTAGATTAAAGAAAGAGTTATAGCATAGAAAGTCATTATTTAACAGTTACACTTATGAATATTGTACTTAAACAGAGTAAAATGTTCTGGAACAAAATTTTACTCTGCTATTTTAATAAGGGTTTCACTTTTCAGCAATGACTTTGTACAGGGGTCATTGGCTTTTAAACTAGAAAATTACTTCACGGATAAAGTATATATGATTAAATGTTTCAGGTACGTACCTGGGTATGTGTTGGACTGTTATATACCTCAATGGTTTCACGGTTGTCTAGAGAGAGAAGAGACAGAGAGATTATTAAACAAGACATGTCGTGATGGAACATTCCTAGTGAGGGAGCGACTCACAAAACTCGGAACATATGCCTTGTCAGTATGGTGCCCTGATCAAGTTGTACATGTTCCTTTAGGTAATACCGTGTGTTTGTGTTGTGTGTTTTATGGAAAGTTTGAGCCCTAAAAGTTTGATGATAAGCATGTCTCTTGCCTAGCTTATACAGTGGCAGCTAACATTGTATTCATCAGAGAAAGCATAGCATAAACTATATAATTTATTATGTGATTAACATAAACTATATGATATTTCATGTGATTAACATATAAACTATAGGATATATCACATGATTGACATATATACTACATGATATATTGATTATGTGATTGACATATACTATATAATATGATATATCATGTGATTGACATATACTATATAATATGATATATCATGTGATTGACATATACTATATAATATGATATATCATGTGATTGACATATACTATATAATATGATATATCATGTGATTGACATATATTATATAATATATCATGTTATTGATGTGCAACACCTGAAGTTTTCTTGAGAAGTATTTGTTGATTTGACCAAAAATGCTGGTAAGCTGAAAAATTCTGCAAATAGTACAGTGTACATGTAAGTGCTATTGTTTGTTGTGGCAGCAAAAAATATTTCTTTGTATTTGAGGAAAGGTTTTGTATATGACAAATCATTAGGACATGACTTTGAGTTTTGCTAGGCATTTGTTGTAATAGTATAATGCCATTACGATTACTGAAAATATAAGCTACTTGCTGTATTAATATAAGTTTTCACCCCTTGAATCAAGGCAAACTGTTGCTTGGGATGTCTTAAAACGTGGCATCACATATCACAGGGTATGGCCACTTTGAAAATCAGTATTATTCATTGACATTCTCAGGATAGCATTTAGCCACTGATATTGGAATATTATTGAGTCAGAATTGATGAAACAGGCCGATATTGCAGTCTGTATCCATAAAACCAGTTCAATTTGTTTTTATAACCATTACGTCAGGCAAACAAAGATAGTTTACAATAACTGATAACGCATAAAGCTTTTATTGATGTTATGTTAAGTGGGTGTACGTATCCATAACTTTTAAACAATACCAGATTCTACATGTACTCAGTTTGTGATGTGATTATGATATTTGATACAGAATAAAAGCTGTACATGTTATAATGGCAGTAGATCCATCGGTGTGGCAAAAAATGTTTTTGCTTCTTTTGGTATTTGTCTGGAATGTCCCAAGACTATAAGAATTGCAGTTGTTATTTTTTATGAATTAATCAGGTTGAGGGCAGCATTTTAAATTAAATTGACAGTACACAGTTTTAAAATGCAGTACACTTGGAGTGTACATGCACCCATGGAAAATAAAAACCAAAGATAGTGTCAAAACATTTACACTTACAGGATTTTCACATAATTTCATGTGCATTTATTATTGTCCAGAAAATGTAAGACTTTCAAAAAAACAACAACAACTGTTTTCCCCTATAGATTCACATTTAAATATGAATTATATTGATTTGTGAAATTTTTTTCATTAAATCATAAGTGCATCTTTGAACACTCTCTGCTATATATGTAATACTTATAAATGATATATTATGAAAATAAAGCTTAAATTGAATAAAATGGAAATAATGTGGAATATTTTGTTTAAGATCTTATTTATAAATTGTAGTTACCTCCCTTGAATCATGTCTTTTATTTAAAGAAGATAAAAAATTAAACATATTTGTTTATACTTTTAGTGTTTGAACATGGTCAGTTCACAACTGGTGCAGACCCCCAATTGCCAAAATTTAGTTGTTTGTTGGACTTAGTCGATCACTACAAACAAGAGACGCGATTTTGGACGGCCAAGGATGAATGTGTGCGAATTTTGTTCCCGTTATCTCGGCAAGAGACCTCGCTGCCAGAAGAGATACAGAAAATGGATCTGGAATCTATTGAAATGTACTTCAAGGCTCTGAAAGAGGGCAAAGAACATGTTCGAGACATTAGGTACGGTACTTTATAAATCTTAGTATGGAATTGTTGAATGTATATGACATTCATGGAAGTTATTTTCTAAAGTTCAAGTCTTGAGCTGTGATGAGTTAGTTCAAAACAATATATATCTAATGCATTTAATCTGACATTGATAAGATTTAATTTTTAGCATCAAAACAATATATATTTAATGCATTTAATCTAAAAACATTGGTAAGATTTTTATCATCACTTTTTGAAGAAAAAAAATGGAGCTTTTTTCATGAGTCTAGTGTTAAAATATAAAACTCCCTCAGGCTATAAATTATGTATCAATGGACAGTTCTGAATTAAATTTGCATCTTTCATACATATTCAGCATGGTAAGGGGTAAGAATACTAGTTTGCATGCAGAATTCTTGAGAAATTACCAACAAAAACTATTTTTAACTTCAGGTTAATGGTAATAGGTCACCATGGTGCGGGCAAAACTACGTTGACTGAGAGACTGATGGGTAAACCGTTCACACAGGTGGGCAGTACCAACGGTATTGAGATACATGTACGACAGTGTCAGTTCAATGTAAAAACCGGAGCTTGGACCAAACAGAGAGTTGGCTCCGCCTTCTTTGATGATGATGAGGCTCATAAAATGAGGTAATTTACTACTCATGTCTTTTTTCTCCTTTCAACTTGTTTTTAGCTCACCTGTCACAAAGTGACAGGGTGAGCTTTTGTGATCGCTTTTCGTCCGGCGTCCGTCCGTCCGTCGTCCGTCCGTCGTCCGTCCGTCGTCCGTCCGTAAACTTTTACTTTAAATGACATCTCCTCATAAACCACTGAGCCAATTTCATCCAAACTTCACAGGAATGTTCCTTTGGTGGTCACCTTTAAAAATTGTTCAAAGAATTTAATTCCATGCAAAACTCTGGTTGCCATGGCAACCGAAAGAAAAAACTTTAAATATCTTCTTTTAAAAAAACCATAAGAGCTAGAGCTTAGATATTTGGGCATGAAACATCTTCTAGTGAGTGTCTACCAAGTTTTGTTCAAATAAAAGCCCTGGGGTCAAAATTGGCCCCGCCCGGGGGGTCATTGATTTTCCCTATATGCATATAGTAAAAACTTAAAAAATCTTCTTTTAAAGAACCCAAAGAGCTAGAGCTAAGATATTTAGCATGAAACATGTTCTAATGGGTGTCTACCAAGTTTGTTCAAATAAAAGCCCTGGGGTGAAAATTGGCCCGCCCCGGGGGTCATTGATTTTCCCTATATGCATATAGTAAAAACTTAAAAATCTTCTTTTAAAGAACTCAAAGAGCTAGAGCTTAGATATTTGGCATGAAACATCTTCTAGTGAGTGTCTACCAAGTTTGTTCAAATAAAAGCCCTGGGGTCAAAATTGGCCCCGCCCCGGGGGGTCATTGATTTTCCCTATATGCATATAGTAAAACTTAAAAAAATCTTCTTTTAAAGAACCCAAAGAGCTAAAGCTAAGATATTTAGCATGAAACATGTTCTAAATGGGTGTCTACCAAGTTTGTTCAAAATAAAAGCCCTAGGGTGAAAATTGGCCCCGCCCCGGGGGTCATTGATTTTCCCTATATGCATATAGTAAAAACTTAAAAATCTTCTTTTAAAGAACTCAAAGAGCTAGAGCTTAGATATTTGGCATGAAACATCTTCTAGTGTGTGTCTACCAAGTTTGTTCAAATAAAAGCCCTGGGGTCAAAATTGGCCCCGCCCCTGGGGGTCATTGATTTTCCCTATATGCATATAGTAAAAAACTTAAAAATCTTCTTTTAAAGAACCCAAAGAGCTAGAGCTAAGATATTTAGCATGAAACATGTTCTAATGGGTGTCTACCAAGTTTGTTCAAATAAAAGCCCTGGGGTGAAAATTGGCCCCCGCCCCGGGGGGTCATTGATTTTCCCTATATGCATATAGTAAAAACTTAAAAAATCTTCTTTTAAAAACTCAAAGAGCTATGGCCAAGATATTGAGCATCAAACATGTTCTAATAGGTGTCTACCAAGTTTGTTCAAATACAAGCCCAGGGGTCAAAATTGGCCCCGCCCCGGGGTCATTGATTTTCTTTATATGTGTTTAGCAAAAACTTTAAATCTTCTTTGAAAAAACCCAAATAGCTAGAGTTGAAATAAAATAAAAGCCCTGGGGTCAAAAACTTGCCCGGCCCAGGGGTGTCATTGTTTTTAACTATATGTGTTATAGTAAAACTTTAAAAAAATCTTCTTTTAAAAAGCCCAATGAGCTAGAGCTTAAATGTTTAGCATGAAACATCTTCTTATGGGTGTCTACCAAGTTTGTGCAAATAAAAGCCCTTGGGTTAAATTGGCTCTGCAACGTTGGGGGGGGGGGGGGTTGGGGGGCCTATATACAGGTGAGCGACCTCAGGGCCATCATGGCCCTCTTGTCTTCATTTTTACAGTGGATTGGTCATAAACTACTTCAGTGTTAAAGTGGATTGGGTGTCTACAAGGGGCATTTTTTTTATCAGTATTTCAGATATTGATGAAAACAAAAGTATCATTTGGATATTCCTTTAAAATATTTCTTGAAAAAAAAAAAAAAACAATGATGGCAGAGGTTTTGGTCATTTATATGATGGATAATATTATTTTGTTATAAAACATTTAAGCCGCGTCACGACAAAACCAACATAGTGCGACCAGCATGGATCCAGACCAGCCTGCGCATCCGTGCAGTCTGATCAGGATCCATGCTGTTCGCTTACCAACTCTATTACAAGAGGAGAAACTGACAGCGAACAGCATGGATCCTGACCAGACTGCGCGATTGCGCAGGCTGGTCTGGAGCCATGCTGGACGCAAACCCATTATGTTGGTTTTGTCGTGACGCTGCTCAATTTATAATCTGCTCTATACAGATACATGTAATTGATATTGGATCATCAGTCATGTATCTAACATGTACCAACTGCAGCCATGTAATATCACTCATGGTTTGTTGTCACAAATGATACTAAATACTACCAACATAATTACATGTATATATGATTTTGCAAACATTCCTTTATGAACCAATTCACTTTTAAGCAGCATGCCTCCAGATTCATGCAAATTTTCATGAAAAATTTTAAAATGGTATTTTAAAGTAATATATCGTGAAATAAACAAAGAAAGTAATTAAGACATTGCAAATGACACTTACAGTTCATGAAAATTATCAAAAAGAGGTCAAAATATGCAAAAATAGCCCTTACTGCATTAGTCATGCTTTAGAAATATAGTGATAAATACTGCAAAATAAGTCACCAATCACTTTTACATGTTATAAAGTTTTACTTGAATCTTATACTTTTCTTAAAATCTTAGTACATTTTTCTCAACTATGATTTTCTTGGTATATTTTGACTCATCTGGAGGCATGTAGCTTTAATTTCTTGTTATATTTATGAACATTTCAATATTCGTGCATGATATACAAGGAAGAAGGAAATTCTAAAAGTGCTTAATGTACATGACTGAGAATTGAATTATCTCAAGTGTCTAGAAGTCATAGACTTTAATCAGTTGACCTCAGAGGCTTGTTTAATAACGGAGCTCTATATTGAGAATTAACAAAAAAGTTTTGTTAAAGAATTCAGTTTGTTTGAAAAATAATTTTTTGCTGGGTTAGTATTAACTGTAGCAAATGTTGGAGTAACTTTAGCCAACTTTGAAAGTTGTTATGTTTTACCAAATATTAAAGGCCAGTTATGCCCCAGAAATGCTGTTATTTTTATTTCTCAAAAACTTTTTATTTTTTGGTGTTCTGTTATAGTTTTCATAAAATCATTCATTGGTTAAATACATGAACCATCTTTTGCTTCTGTGGTCTTTGGGCAATAAAGTTACAGTGATCTACTATTTTTTATGGAAGTGAAAATTCAACTTAATTGTTTACGTTTTGCTACTTTTCTGATAAATATTTCATATTCAGGGCTACTTTGTTCAGGTGATAAACATCTAACATGCTCTAAAACATTATTTAAGCATTACAAAAACAATGTTTGCTCTTTCTAAAGAAGGAAACATTTTTGGATTTTGAGGCATTTTATGCCTTTAAAGAATTAGTTTTAGGTCAAGCAGCTATGCATTCTAAGAAATAGTACATGACATTGCTATGGCCTCCTCCTTTTACATTCAGCTACTTATTAATGGTTTTTCAAGATAACCATGTGACCAATTTAAGTACTTAATTTAATTTAATATGCAAACAGACATTTCTTTACTGATTAAGTTCACTTTATTTCATGTACTTTGTCAATATTTGAATCACAGAATCTGGGCAAAAGGTAACACACATACCTGAATATTCTTGATATCCTATTGTTGTCTATTTATAGAATGCTTGCATCATGTCTATATATAACCTTGGAAACAGGTGAAATATTATATACAGAAAGTTTAAAGACCAGATATAATTATGAATGTATTGAAAAGGAAAAGTGTAAGATGTTTACTAAATTATTTTTCTCTGTGTGAAACACCTACCTGCTTCCTGTTTTACTGACTTTGAGAGATGTCTAGTGCTTACTTCTTGATACTTAATATAGGTTAGAGTGCATATTGGGTGTTCTTCGTAAATAAGAAAGCTAAAAAGGAGCGGAGCTTGCGAAGCGACTGTAGCTTTCTTATTTACGAAAAAACCCCAATATGCCTCTAACCGGTTTATGACCCCGCCATTTTCTTTAAAAATAATATAAAACGCCCAGTTTATATAAAATCTGTTCTATTAAGATTTGTTACCTGAAAATTTGAAAAATCCTCGTTGGTGATTGGCTTAAAAAAATTGGCGAGCACTAATTTGGAATACAAGTTATTGTACACAAGTTCAATAGATATAAGAGATCTATTTTATGGTAATCTCTATGATTTATGTTTTAATTTCTTTGCATTTTATTGTCATAAATGAAAGAAAGGCTGACTTCGCCTTTATGATATGTTGCCTTCTTTTTAGCTCACCTGTCACAAAGTGATAGGGTGAGCATTTGTGATCGCTTTTCGTCCGGCGTCCGTCCGTAAACTTTTACTTTAAATGACATCTCCTCATAAACCGCTGAGCCAATTTCATCCAAACTTCACAGGAATGTTCCTTTGGTGGTCACCTTTAAAAATTGTTCAAAGAATTTAATTCCATGCAGAACTCTGGTTGCCATGGCAACCGATAGAAAAAACTTGAAATATCTTCTTTTAAAAAACCCAAAGAGGTAGAGCTTAGATATTTGGCATAAAACATCTTCTAGTGAGTGTCTATCAAGTTTGTTCAAATAAAAGCCATGGGGTCAAAATTGGCCCCGCCCCTTGGGTCATTGATTTTCCCTATATGCATATAGTAAAAACTTAAAAAATCTTCTTTTAAAGAACCCAAAGAGCTAGAGCTAAGATATTTAGCATGAACAATGTTCTAATGAGTGTCTATCAAGTTTGTTCAAATAAAAGCCCTGGGGTCAAAATTGGCCCCGCCCCAGGGGGTCATTGATTTTCCCTATATGCATATAGTAAAAACTTATAAAATCTTCTTTTAAAGAACCCAAAGAGCTAGAGCTAAGATATTTAGCATGAACCATGTTCTAATGGGTGTCTACCAAGTTTGTTCAAATAAAAGCCCTAGGGTCAAAATTGGCCCCGCCCAGGGGGTCATTGATTTTCTCTATATGCATATAGTAAAAACTTATAAAATCTTCTTTTAAAGAACCAAAGAGCTAGAGCTAAGATATTTAGCATGAAACATCTTCTAATAGGTGTCTATCAAGTTTGTTCAAATAAAAGCCCTGGGGTCAAAATTGGCCCCGCCCATGGGGTCATTGATTTTCCCTATATGCATATAGTAAAAATTTATAAAATCTTCTTTTAAAGAACCCAAAGAGCTAGAGCTAAGATATTTAGCATGAACATGTTCTAATGGGGTGTCTACCAAATTTGTTCAAATAAGAGCCCTGGGGGTCAAAATTTGGCCTGCCCGGGGGTCATTGATTTTCCATATATGTGTAAAGCAAAAACTTTAAATTAAAAATTCTTTGAAAAAAACAAATAACTAGAGTTTAGATACTAAGCATGAAAACATCTTCTAGTGAGTGTCTACAAAGTTTTTTCAAATAAAAGCCCTTGGGTCAAAATTTGCCTGCCCCGGGGGTCATTGATTTTTATTTATGTGTATAGCAAAAATCTATCTTTGAAAAAAACCCAAATACATAGAGTTAAGATATTTAGCATGAAACATCTTCCAGTTAGTGTCTTCAAAGTTTGTTCAAATAAAGCCCTAGGGTCAAAATTGGCCCTGCCCTGGGGGACATTGATTTTCCTTATATGTGTATAGCAAAAACTTAAAAATCTTCTTTAAAAAAAAAACAGAATAGCTAGAGTTTAGATATCAAGCATGAAACATCTTCTAGTGAGTGTCTCCAAAGTTTGTTCAAATAAAAGCCCTGGGTCAAAACTGGCCCCGCCCTAGGGGTGTCATTGCTTTTAACTATATGTGTATAGTTAAAACTTAAAAAATCTTTTTTTTTAAAAACTCAACGAGCTAGTCCTTAGATGTTTAGCGTGAAATATCTTCTAATGGGTGTCTACCTAGTTTGTTCAAATAAAAGCCCTGGGGTTTAAACTGGCCCCGCCCTGGGGGCCTATATACAGGTGAGGGACTTCAGGGCCATCATGGCCCTCTTGTTAAATTTGTCTTTTGTTGTCTTATCTCTGATATGCAGGCTTCATAACCTCTGATCCCCTTTCAAAATTCCATTTTATTTAGTTTTGCCCATTGTTTTCTTGTTTGGGGCACATGCATTCTTTTACTTTAGGACCATATGCCTTTTTCAGGTATGACACAAGCATATCCAATTGAAGGTTCCATGATGACCGCCATAGGAACACACATGTTTCTTAATTCGAAATTATAGCAAGTTTAATGTTTAATAATACTTAAGCCGGTGCTAGGGGGATTGGATGGTAACTTGCTTTTTCCAGTACCGTCCATGAATATGCTCAGTCAAATTGAGCCTGCAACATTTTCAATTTTGCCATTTTGGTCTTTCTTTAGGACTTCTATATTTCTCTCTATTCTAATTTATCTCTCTTTTTGCTTAAACTTTCCTCGCATTGGGTATCTGGGTGTATGTGGTTGCACAGTCACTTTCTTTATATGTCCTCGATGCATGATTCAGGTTCTTTTTCATAAATTGAAAACATTTTTATGCATTTTAATTTATAATTCAGCAGTAAACTTTAAAGGGACTTCACTGAGGATTTTTGACATGACGGGACTGGAAATTTTTTTTTGAGACTTGTGTATCATTTGATGTTGGTCTTAATTAATAACTTGTGTCTTCGAAACGGTATGCACCTATTCATTTTTTTCAGTTCGGTTAAATAAAAAATATATTGTCCAGTTTACTAACCGTGTTTACTTTTAAAAAGCAACAAAACACCCCCTCACCCCTCCTGCTCCCAATAAAGAAGAGAAAATAAAAAAATAAATATTAGATAAATAGATAAATAAATATATAACGTTAAAAAATATGTGAAATAATAAACAAACAAAAAACAACGTAAGATAACATTTGAAACAAACAGAAAAAAATATACACTACATCAAAACCTCCAAAGCAAAATAAAAACAACATCATGAATTTAAACCAAACAATAACATTTAACAGACCCTCTTGTCTTGTATGGCATGATTTACATAATAAGTTTGAGCAAAAGCATGTTTCAGTTTTAAATGTGATAGTCCTCTTTCTAATAATTATTAATACACCAACCTATGATCTGATGAAGTCTGTTATATTTGAATAGATGTTTTGATTGTCATTTCAATATTGGTGTTATTGTTAAATGAAGATGTCAGTTTTTTCTTAAGTTTTTGATTTTGAATGATTTTACTGATGAATGGTACAGATTTTGCCCTCGAAAACCTTATAGATTGAAAAAATGTTTTTTTTTCTTATTTAAGCTATAGTTTAGGATGTTTGTTACATTTATTTTAATAGAAGGCCTTTAACTATTGGTCATAGTTTTCTTTTCTTTAGTTCTTTTCTTAAGTTCATCTATGTAGTACAAATTATATAAATTATACAATATTCACAGGTCTTACATTCTCTTCAGGTTGTTGCGTCTGCTAGAATCACCCGGTTCTGACGAAGAAAGCTCTTCGGTTATAGAAGATTTCCGACGAATGGGTTCTCCAATTGATCCCCTAATGCACAGGAATAGCTCCGCAGATATAGGTCATCACAAGGGAAGTAAATCTGACCTGTCCAAAACTAGTTCACCAGATCTCTCTTCGGGAAGAAAGAATGGTATTCTCGCCTTAGGTAGTCAAAGCTCCCTGGCATCGTTAAAGAATCTTGATTCACCATCGTCTAAAGATGTTACATTTTCTCTTGAAGAATCTCCGACTACTAACGGAGAAACAAAATATGACTGTATGAAAACATCTATAAATGCTACAGATTTAAATTTGACTTTTCGGGGTTACAAGTTTTCAAAAGGGCACTTTAAAACCCTTTTTGAGCTTTACGTTTGGAAGAAAAAACCCCAAACGTCAAAACAATAAAAATGAACGGTTTCCAAAAATTTTTTTCCTGGGGGATTTTGCAGGTAAAATAATTTTTTTGCCACGCACGGGTATTTTTTAGCCCAAGGGAAATTTTATTTCTAGCCTAGATTTTTTCAAAGGGATTTTGATCTTTTGCCCCAAGGATAAAGAATTTCCGATTAAATTTAAACCCATTTAAAAGGGTCAACGGGGTAAAGATACGGGGGAATTCTGGCTTAGATCGATCCATCTTTTGGGGGATGTCCCGGGACGGGCCGCCAAAATTCTCGTGGGAACTCACAGGAAGGGAAATTACTGTGTTTCCGTTAAAAGAAAAAAAGGCCCAAAAAGTACTTTAAGTTTCCCCCGAAATTTTGGTCAAACTCACCATTTTCCAACCCATAAAAGCCGGGAGCAGTTTGCAATAAAAATAAACCCCTGTCTGACGAGGGTTTGGGGACAACAAAAAAAATCATAGTTGATTTTTGCCAAAAAGCGACAAAAACCCCGGGAAAACCAAAAAAATACAGCAAAAATCTCCTTTAAAAAAGGTTTTCTAAAAATTCAGATTTCCAGCCCAAAATACAAAAAAAAATTCCCAAGCTTTTCATGTTTTAAAAACCCCCAGCATACTGGTATTTCTTTAAAATTGATAAATTTAAAACCTTTTTGTTTTTTTCCATATGATAACCATAAAGAAGTTTTTATAAATGCTCCTGCATTTATAGATCATTTAACTTTTTTTATACCCACAGCGAGTTTTGCTTGCCCAAGGTCAAGTTCACACTGTAAGGTCAAATGTTAGGTTTATGTGTTTGCTGTATAAATGTTAAAGGTCAAGGTCCACCTTGAATATCTAGTGTCAGGACAGTGGCTGGACTGTAAATTCTATAATCCTTGAAGGACTATTTTTAAATTTAACTGAAATGAAATTGTTCAAATAGTTTTGAAAATGCAGATATGTCATTCTATATTTACAGATCTTTGAGCAAGATGAGAAGCAGTACAAAGATTATTTCTATAGATGATGTTCTAAGAGGCAATGACCAAAATGAAGTCAAGATAACCGATATAGAAGAGATTCTACTCTTTCTCAGGTATTGTTATCAATATATTTTTAAATATCAAGATAAATATAGAAAAATGTAATATATTAAAGAAATACATCACCATTATCCTTCTGAAGGTCTAAAACAAACTTGTTCAGCTTCCATTTTAAGCTTGACATTAGGAAGAATAGGGAGAGCTATTGTAATCACCCAGGCGTTGCCTTCACACTTTGGTTAAGATTTTGCATGCAAGTTGCTACATGTATCTCCAAAACTACTGAAGGGAATGGTTACTGTCTAAGGCATATTCTAGACATAAATTTTGACAGAATTTATCATGACCCTTTTTGAATTCTACTTTATCCAAGCTGTTGTTTAACTATCAAGCACTGAAAATAGCCAAGCATGCTGTCCTACAAACAAATACCAATTTCTGGGATATCAAGATTAGAAGTTAACAGTATAGATCTTGATCACACTGCACAGATGATCACGCTGAAGGTGTCTTTAGATTGAGCAAAATTGAAGCTGTAAATGTTTGATGAAGTGGTTATTACGTCTCCTATCATATTTCAGGTACCAGCATGCAGTCGGTCATCTAATATACTCAGAAGATGATGAACTGTCAGGCAGTATCGTCCTTGATCCCCAGTGGATCATCGATGCCTTTAAATCACTCATTACTGCAGAAAGATTTGTCAAACTCCATTCATCGCTTCGTCCGTTGTGGACTCAATTGCAGGAAAAGGCGATGTTGAAAGACGAGCTGATCGACGGCATTTGGCAAGTTGTGAAAGATGGAGCTTTTATGAAAGACAGGGATATACTATTGACATACATGGAGAAATTGGACATCATTGCCAGACCAAAAATAGTGCCAGAGGACGGAAGTGTGGTAAAATATAGATTTTTTTCTTTTGTGCCGAGTTTTCTAAAACCAAAAAGGGGGGAAAAAAGAAATTTTCCCTCCCGACTCAAGTGAAAAAACGTAAAAAATTTCCCATTTTTATGCTTTTTTTTTTAACAAAGGGCTTTCTTCCCCCATTTTTTTTCCAAAGAATCAGGAGCAGGGTCTGCCCGAGAATAATTTTTCGGGCCCAGGTAAGGAAGGCGAAATTTAAATACTGGATTTTGGGAATATTCAAGCGGGATTTTTGCCATTGTTTTTCTTTTAGACTCGGGGATAATGCCCATAAAAAGCAGGGTTCTAAACATGGTGAACGAAAAAAGTGAAGTCTTTTTATTATAGATTAAAGAAATTTGTACATTCCCCTTGATGGAACTATTGCCGTTCCCCAACAGAAAAACACCTTTCTCATTTTGGGTATTGAATGTGAAAGCGGGAATCTGAACGACCAATGAGGTGATTGATTGTAAGGAATTACTCAAACAGGAGAAAATGCCATGTTACGCACACACAAAACCTCACGTCATTTCCGCAGATGCTATTCTGCAAACTTGGTATCCCGACTATGTGGACCTGCCACAAGGACAGGTAACTCAACACAACTGGATCGATATTCGGCCAGGAGTTATACGGAAAAGGGAAGTTACTGCGAAAGACTTGAGCAGGATATCGCAGTGTGTTGGTTTCAACTGGGAGTTCATTGCAATAGAACTTGGGCTCGCTCAAGCCGATATTGACCAAAGCAAGATGGATTACAAGGACAGAACAGCAATGCAGATCTACCAGACGCTGCTGAAATGGAAAGCTCGTAATGGAGCAAGTGCGAACATTGAAACATTAGTGAAAGCCATACAGGCTAACACGACAGTCGAGGCAAATTGGGAAGTTATAAAGAACGTGGTTGACAAGATTTACGATTAAAGTCGCGAAATCAAATCACGAGGTGGTGAATTGTTAATGATAAGAAATTTGTATTATAACAGTTATAAGAGGGTTTTTTGTTCCTTGGAATGTCTGAGTAGATCTTTGAAGGAAGTTTGAAATTGTTATTTGATGAAATAGATATTGTTTACTGTCCCTATATCAAAATAAGTGTTTTTAATGCATTCACATCATTACATTGTTCTTTTTTTACTGAATATAACCAAGATCATTTGCCTATGCATGAAAACATTCGGCAGTGGTTGTTTTTTTTTCCCGTTTGGAAATTTATCTTTGTTCATCCAGTTTATCTTTGTTCATCCAGTTATGAAAATTTTGACTTGTGAAATCAGAGATTTTAGTATAAAACAAGTTGCAACAACTCAGAATTTTTTTGAATTTTTTTTATATATTTTTTTTTTGAATTTTTTATTTTTTAAGTAATTAATTTCACTTAGGGAAAAGTTGGGAGTTTTATTTGCTTGAGAAAGGACCTATGTACCAAATTATCTTAAAGAAAAGAAAAAACCACTGTCTGATTGCATTTTTTATTTTATGACATTTTAACAAGACACATAGATCAGGTTAAAAAAAAATTGATAAATTTCCGTGCCTCAACTTTTACAATTTTTATACAAGATCTTCTTTTTTGATAACATACTTGTTCAGGAAAAAAAACCAGGTGATCATGAATATAGATTATTCAAGAAGGGAACATATATATCAGGGTATTTCTAAAGTATATAAAGCTAGATATCTCAGTGCTTTGTCATCTGCTTTCTTAGTCGTAGCTTTACTGTTCATGCTTGTAATATAAAGTACAGTAACACCTTCACTTTTTGACCCTTTAGGAAGAAAATAAATTGTTGTTGAGGAGAGGTAAGCCTCTCCATCGGTTCAATTTATTGTAAAATTGTACTTTTTATGAAAATTAATAATGATGTTGTAAAGAGGCTGTTACTGCACTGTAGATATGAATGCAGCATTGAATCAAAATTGTAGTTTCTGACCCTAACAAAACTAATTATCTTAAATGGACTTGCCCATCTTTCAGTGTCAATCTGGACAACCATTATAAGCTAATGTGCCAGCTGGCCTAGTTCTTCTTTATGCATATGCCAGCTTGTTTATCTCTTCTTTAAGGATGAGCCATCTGGCCTTGTTCTACTTTACTGTTGTGCCAGCTGGCCTAGCTCTACTTTACTGTTGTGTCAGCTGGCCTAGCTCTACCTTACAGATGTGCCAGCTGGCCTAGCTTTAATTTACAGATGTGCCAGCTGGCCAAGTTCTTCTTTATGCATATGCCAGCTTGTTTATCTCTTCTTTTAAGGATGAGCCATCTGGCCTTGTTCTACATTACTGTTGTTGTAAGCTGGCCTAGCTTTACTGTTGTGAAGCTGGCCTAGCTCTAATTTACAGACATACCAGCTGGCCTAGCTCTACTTTACTGATGTGGTTCAGCTGGCCTAGCTCTACTTTACAGATGTGCATGCAAAGTCAGTACATAATAATCAATTTAATAATAATATACTGCATAAAATAAGTGTTGCTTAAGTGTAGTGATCATAGCATTACAATGTAGAATTTATATAAAAATTGATTGGGATTTAAATAAACATGTACAGTGATTTGTATCCTATTACTTGAATTGCTGTGATAAATGCATATATTATTTTTTATCAGTTTATGCTAAGTTCAAAACCATGTTTTTCAATAAGTATATTAATGTCATATCAACTTACAAAAGAATTAGATGAAATCTATTGCACTTTTATATTGTATTTTAAAATTCTGGTGATTGTGCCATAGTTTTCAAAATGTAGATATAAGGTATTCATAATTAATGTATTAAATTTTTACAGAAATTAGCCAGGTCTGTTTCAAAAAATGATTTAACTTTTACCCTGCAAGAAACCAGGGTTGATACATCTTGGCTGCTGGTTATTTATCTTTGAAAGCTTGTTAGGTGGGACTTGAGACTATCACTGAGATGTGACCAAGATTATGTTAAAATTTGCATAGAACCAATTAAACAAACAGAGGTAGGCCAACCAAACTAACAGAGGTAGGCCAATCAAACTAACAGAGGAAGGCCAATCAAACTAACAGAGGTAGGCCAACCAAACTAACAGAGGTAGGCCAATCAAACAAACAGAGGTAGGCCAACCAAACTCACAGAGGTAGGCCAACCAAACTAACAGAGGTAGGCCAACCAAACTAACAGAGGTAGGCCAACCAAACTAACAGAGGTAGGCCAATCAAACAAACAGAGGTAGGCCAACCAAACTCACAGAGGTAGGCCAACCAAACTAACATAGGTATGCTAACCAGTACAGAGGTAGACCGGCATGCACATTCGTGCATTCTGACCAGGCTTTATACTATTGGCTGAATAATTTATTTTTTCATTGTGTAATTCTCGATACTAGTGGATAAGGCTTATCATAAATAATTCGATTCCAGCGGTTTTATTTTTTTCAACTTTTTTTGTCATTTTTAAAAAACTTCCAAAATTTGACAACAAAACCCTTATAAAAAAAAAAAAATTTAAAATCCAAAAATTGAAAAGTTTTATATTGGTTTTAAATTTATATTGCAAAAATATGAAAGTTGTCTCAGTCCATCTAGTTCACAGTTTATCTGATACTGATTTTGATTAAAAAGAAAAACTTAATTAGATCTCATCCCATTTGTGTTCCAGGGTTATTTTTTCTTCTCCCTATTTCTCATAGTTTTCTTATGATTTGTCACCTTAGTGCAGTAACAGGTTAACTCCTTTTACATTTAATAGGAGTTAACCCATTACTGCACTAATGTAATGAATTATTTTGAGTACAATCTTAAGAACTTATTAGAGTCTTTTTTTTACCTTTGTATGAATCAGTTTGTAATCAGGTCACAATGAATGTGTCAAACATAGCCGCATATTCTCATATTTTTTGTTTATGTTTCTTTAAGATATAGCGTGACTCAAATTCTTGCAGAATAAAACTATTTGGATATCTCCTTGTGGAAAAAAGTATTTTGAATATAGCTGCTGGAGTAGTCTCCCTTGTTTTTACTTTTGTTTAAATTATGTGATGAATACTGTAAAGGGTCAAGTTATGGAGAATACATACAATCTGACATAAATTTTCATTTCATATATGAATGTATTTAAAAGCGGACAGAGGGACACTAAATCTTTACAACAACAATTTTTTTTTTTAATTGAATAGTATATGAACTTAAGGGTATTTTTCATCTAAATGGTTAAATACATGTATGAAATTAAATAATTTTAGTTACATTCTTATTTGTATTGATTTAAACAGGCTGTTAGTTTGTAAATGCAAAAACAAATAAAATTTGACTGGAATTAAAATGTTTTTTGTAGATGCAATATTTTATTTGAACAAAAGATGAACAAGTTTTAGCTTTGAACAAAAAGGGTAACCTTAAATATATGTTGTTATTAACGTTTTGATTGCTGAGTTGATTATGTAAGAAAAGTATATATTTTTTAACAGACAAATTATAAAGTTATTATCATGTAACTCTTGCAAAATGTCTTTCCTATTGCCAAACATTTTAAGAGGTTTTAGCTCAACTATTCAAAGAAGAGGGAGAGCTATTGTACTCACCCTGGGGTCAGTGTCACACTTAAGTTAAGTTTTTGCATGCAAGTTGGTTTCTCCAAAACTACAGATGTGAGAAACTTGGTAACTTCACTTGGTAACTTCACACTTTTTTTAGTGCTCGCCAATTTTTTTAAGCCAATCACCGACGAATATTTTTCAAATTTTCAGGTTTCAAATCTTAATAGAACAGATTTTATATAAACTGGACGTTTTATATTATAAAACGCAAGTGGGCGGAGCTAAGTTTCGAAGAGCGCTAAAGTGAAATATACGCATGTGCAGAGATCTTGAAGTTCACTCCTACTAATCAATATTTATGCATCATGTTTTTTCCGTACACGCACATGTATATCGTCACTACGGCATAGAATTAAAAAAAAGAGGTTCATTGAAATGAAAACAGGCAAAGTAACAGTAAAAATGTTTTATTACTTACGGAACCAGTATCATTTTATAATTTCCAAATAAAAAGTTCACTTATTCCAACAAAGTATGTATGTAATATTTCTTACTTTTTATGTAAATATTACAGCCCGTGCCGCTGCAAAACCGAAAGTAGGGTGTTTTTATCAATTTTACATTTTTTTTGACAATATACTGCCATTTGTCTGAAGATGATATGTATATGAACATAATAAATATGTATGATGCATATATAATCAAGCTACACGAAAAATATGTCGAGGTGACGGGCGAGGCAAGACATGTCGACTTTTTGTAGCTTAATATTGTGAAGTTGCAGATCATGAAAATCGGGCACATGACAAATCAGCACATAAATAAAACATTCTAGTGTTCCGTGGTATACATCTTTTCTACGTGTCATACCTCCTTTCCTTATTACAATGAATTTTTACTGCATTGTTATTCATCGCTGGTTTGTTTTTAGCAGAGAATGACCTGTGTATGTTTGGGTACCGTTTGAGAATATTTCGCAAAGAGGGTACCGATATGGATATGCACCGTGATATTGTCTTTTTTACCTTGACAGAATGCGGGAATAAGCTATGCAAAACACGTTATCCGAAAATGTGTACCGCTACCTCTTCCAAATATGGTTATACACATTTAGGCTATCGTGTGACATCACGCAGTGTGTTGGGCGGAAAAAAATGGGCGGAGCACTAAGCCGGTTAGAGTGCATATTGGATGTTCTTCGTAAATAAGAAAGCTACAGTCGCTTCGCAAGCTCCGCTCCTTTTTAGCTTTCTTATTTACGAAGAACACACAATATGCACTCTAACCTATACTTAGAGCCTAATAGGAGGTCACTATCCAAGGCCCATAACTCTGACTTGAAATTTGATAGAACTATGGCCCTTTTTTGACTTTAGAAAATTCTACAATATCCAGGCTCTTGTTTTACTTGGCACTGAGAATAGTCGAGCACCATGTTCCAACAACAACAACAACTATTGTTGTGATAATAATTATTGTTGAAGATGTTAATTAATTAAATAATGTCAAAATATTTATTAAATATTTGAATATTTATAGATGAATTAGAGTTGTGTGACATGGTGGCATTACTTTTTTGTAATAAGACTGATATTTTGTTATTTATTTTTAATTGTTTGACTTTGTCATATTAACAAACATAATATATTTTTGAAGAAGAAAAAATAATTTCAGGTTTGCCCTTCAAACAATTCTTCTGTTCTATTACTTGCCATGTTTTGTTATTGCAATATGGTCAAAGATAGTAATGGTTATTGGCCAATGAGTTCATTTAGGATACTGTATTGAAGTACACCAAAATTAAAAGCTTTTGAGAAATTAAAAAAAAAGCATTTCTGAAGTCATAAAATATTTATTGTCGTGTTCTTATAAATCATTTACCATTGAAGTATTGAGTACTTGTTAGTGATTGTTAATAAGGTATTTCTTGTTGTAAGATGAAAAGCTTGCTTTTTTATTTCCTGACACCTGGATAATTTTCAGTTAAGTTTATTCAGTTTATACTTATTTTGAAGGGTTTAAAGCTATAGTTGGCTCTCAGCAGTTAAAAGAATCTTCATGAATGTTATGTTAAATATCTTAATTGAAAGAGTTTTTTTTTGCAATTTTTCCATATAGTTGCTGTTTGTGCATGTTTAACTTGCTTAAACTGCATTTGTTGCAATGTCTCAATTTAAAAACTCTGTATATGACCATAAGAATATGAATAATGGTTAATAATGGTTCTGTTGGTTTAAACAACATGACTGTATTGTTAAAGCAACATGACAGTACTGTTACAAACTACATGACAGTATTGTTAAAACTACATGACAGAAATGTTAAAAAACATGACTTACTGTTTGAACAACATGACTTACTGTTTAAACAACATGACCATACTGTTTAAAATTACATGACTTACTGTTTAAACAACATGACAGTACTGTTTTGTTAAAACAACATGAAGACAATACAGTTTAAAAAACATGACTTACTGTTGAAAACAACATGACAGTACTGTTTAAAAACAGGACTTACTGTTTGAACAACATGACTTACTGTTTAAACAACATAACAGTACTGTTTAGTTAAAACAACATGATTGTTTAAAGCAACATTGCTGTTTAAAGCAACGTGAATGACAGTTTAGCCAAACATGTATACAGTACCAGTCATAGCTTTACACCCTTTAGGCCGATTAGTTAGTTATGCATGTCACATGATTTGCTGATTATATTTTAAAACTTATTTTTGGACCATTTGTTAATATTGATCTATGTTTATGTAATACAAAATTTGTTGATCTCTTTTGTTAGTATGTATGTACATTATATATCAATTGTATTAGCATATAATGATTACCATTGATGTGTTTTAAAACCATGTTATGTTATCAGAGTAAGATGTCTTCCAATTAATCATTGT